AGCAGTGTTCTGCAAATCGTATTCTGCGTTCGCGTAAGTTTGTAGAAATATCAGGGATATGTCTATATAGCTGTGATTTAGTTTGATATTGTCTTCAAAAACATGTTCATTATAGCTCTCAGCATCCGAGTGTAGGTTCCATCAAGCTTAGCCTCTACGGTTTTAGTTATTGTCCAAGCAGTGGCACCATACATTACCACCGCCTCTGCAGTGGCTCGAAATAATCTACGCTTGAGGTTGCCTGGTAGATCAGGTTTAAAAACTGCGTCCATTTTATTCAAGTCGGCCTAGGCTTTAGCTACGCGAATTTTCTCTTCCTTTTCAGTAGAATTTATTTCATTTATGGTCCTTTAGCGTGATACACTTGCATTTTTCTTTGTTATTACACTTGACTATGTATTGATAACTTCCTTCGATAAGCATCATCATCTTGTTCTTACTTCATCATTAAAACTCTCAAGTCGATATCCAGCAAAAAAGCTGAAGATATTGACTATGCTGATTACCTTGTTATCACTGCCGACACTATTACCATTTCCACATTTCTCTTACATCATCTATAAAATGCTGGCAACAATGTTGGAATCTATGGCAATATCTCTAAAAATGAATTCATAAGCTTCAACCAGCAAGGCTCACTAAAAACTATCTCTGGTGAATCAATAAGAGTAAAGTATTAAGAAATAGAATTTTTCGTTGAAAACAAGGAAAACTGTGCTGAACTGCTATGCAATATCTAATGCTGGATAATCTCCTCACAGAGGTGGGTGGAACAACAAAGATATGATTTTACCAACGCATAATCTGGATGAAAAGAAGAGAGCATGAGACGTTTCCAAGAGTATATATCCAGTTAAGAAAATTACTTACAATCTGTGGAGGCACGGTGGAGTAATGGATAGCGGTTCGGGTTGAGAAGCTGGAGAGCGGATTTCGAATTCCATTCGGTTTTATTGAATTCACTTACGTGCTAATACCATTAGGAAATGTATGAATCCATCTTTCCACACCAGGTATAATTAAATAGCAGAACAGACTCAGTCATACAGCCTTGTTTGGCAATCTTTCTACGAGAAGGATAAAATCTAAATTCGAACTACCAACTTCCTTGTAGGCCCTGCGTCTTTAGGCAAAGGCTAGAAGAAGGTAATTTCAAAAACAAATCCGTGTCTCGAAGACTCCTCCACCTAGTACAAGCCGTGACAGAAAATAATAGACTCCTCGGTCTTAGTACGATGGTTCGAACAAATAAAAGTTTATCTCTCTGATTTCGGACCATTCACCGATGGCTGTAACACGTACGGCATTTGAGATGACTATTACACTTACAATCAGAAATAAGCTTATTCGATTTATTGCACACGCAATGAAAAATGAGTACTGGGAAAATTAAGCACTCTTTTAACATCAGAACCAGAGAAACAGCGTACTTTAAAAGTAATATAATACAGTCTGTGGTGAATCATTATCTCCCACGTTCTGAAAGGCATGAATAGAAGTAACATATTTAGATTTTACGAGAGAACTGAAAAGTGTTGATCGTAAAGGTAAATAGTACTCGACGACGGAAAGTTCTGGAAAGCTATGGCCTTCCTCATTCTGACACATAATTAAAAATATCAAGTTAGATACTTTATGGAAGTAAGCTTGATTGGGTAGTATGTGTGATCCAATTGAATGTTTGCAAATGACTATGATTTGACAATATGAAATAACAGGCTATGAACAAACCAGAAATTAATATTCAAAGACCAGATTTAGTGAATTCGGTATAAGAAAATAACGTTTCAAAAGTTTGTGTTTTTCGAGCGTGTCACCAGTAGAGATTAACGATATTTCGGCAGAGAAATTAAGGGATCGAACGTGAAGGTTACAACTGTACCGACCGTTACTAGATCACTAGAAACATTCCAAAAAGATTTTTAAAAAAAGCATGAACTGCCTTAGCCGGGTATTGAACTCACACTCTTTGGGTTCTGTCACTGGATCTATCCAACGCCTTTATCCACTGTGCCATGTGTCCTTGAGGACATACGGCACAGTGGATAATACCCGGCTAAGGCAGTGGAGAACTCTCAGAGGGAAAATTAACAGGAGATAACTGATAACTGACATCCATTAAAAACATGGCACATGGAACTAGAACAGTCTACCCCAATGAGCGAAATAAAGGGTTCAGTTCGATATTCCAACCACCTGAAGAAAGCCTGAGCGTACAACGGCCGAAACGTTGTAATATATATGGGGACAAAGATGAGGACAATAGTCCGAATAATGTAAATAATGAGGATATTCGATATCATCCGGAAAAATATTATTTAAAACATCTTCGCGACTGAGGACGGAAATGTCTTCATGCCAGATGATCTTCGGTGTAACTCACCAGTCGTTCTTTTTGGGGGCACCGTCAATTTCAGGGGTGCAAGAACTTAGCTTTCTGAAACATCTTTATTTAAATAGGTAGCGAGAAGAAAGAAACAGGAAAAAAATTCCACAGTCGATAATTGTGACCAAAGAAAATATTAGAATAAACTAATGATTACAAAATTTACACGAGCCATGTCTCAAGGACACATGGCAGAGTGGATAAAGGCGTTAGTTAGATCCAGTGACAGAACCCAAAGAGTGTGAGTTCAATACCTGATTAAGGAGGTGGAGAAATTTGAGAGGGGGAATACATTAGACACGGCACGTGGAACTAGAACAGTCTACCCCAGCGAGCGAAATAAATGGTTCTGTTCGACATTCCAACCACCTGAAGAAGGACGGAGCGTACAACGGCCAAAACGTTGTGATAAATATAGCAACAAAGATGAAGATGATAGTCCGAACATTTTAAATAGTTTACATAATACCTCATCTCAGAAATATAGACAGATACTAACGACAACAGTAAAACAATGTGACTTGCCAATCTAATAGTACGTTTAAATCTATGATGTTAAGTGAAGTGACGTCGCGGCGGTTGGGAAGTGACTGAAGTTAAGATGTCAGGTCAGGATCTATTACATCACAGGCTCTTCTCTGGATTGCTTCATCCTGATATATAGAAGGAGCACTAAAACATAAATGGCAGCAATATTCAATGCATGGGCAAATAGGAGAATAACGTGCAAGTTGTATTCTTTTGAGAAAAAATTGTCTGCCACGATACAGTGGATCAACATTCCTAGCAGCAAACCTAGCAATTGATACAGCATAATATCTTTATTTCATCTCCGTAGAAAATTTGAGACCAAGAAGGCGCACCGAATTTTTCCCCTGGATATTAGCACCGGCCATGTTGATGGAGGGAATTTTTTTTTCTCTGTGATGAATAAAAAATATCAGTTTAGTTTCAGACGCGTTAAGATTTACAAGACATTTTTTGGAGCAGATAGTAAACGATTGCAGGTAATTTCCAAGAACAGGTACTAGATTTACTTTATCGGTCATATCAGATTTACTATAATGAAAGAGTTGGGTCACCAGAAAAAAATGCCTAGTTGGGGACTGATGCATAATCGGAAAGGTCGAACTACGAATAAGAGATCCTTTTAATCCCCAATATTCAGAGAGTGAAAGGATGATTGGGCAATGTTATAGCAATCGGTGCAGGGAAAGGAATCAGCGAATTGAAAATCCTGTTTAGTATTTTGTATGCACTTTCACAGAAATGACTTGGAAAAGGCAAGAATCCGTTTCTTCCTTCCAACTGTGGGTTAAAAATCAGGCCAGACAGAACGTTTTATTCTTAGCTGGCAAACATTCTAATAGAAGAGGAACCTTCAAACCGTGGAGAAATCAAGAGAAACCACTGCGTTGTCTTTCACAAGAAAACAATTTAATTCGCGCATAACGAAGAAAAGGAATCTGTACAAAGACACGATCGTTCGTGAAAGGACATGACATAAAAAAAAAAAAACATTAAAGCATCGATCTAAATATTTTTGATATATCGAACTTTTTAATGAAGTTTTATCAATTATTATTAACTAGACAAAAAGCCGCACCCCAGAAATTCCAAATCAGGCCATAAATTGAATCTTCAAATCAAAAACTCTACGGAACTTCAAAACATCACATCCCAAAACCTCTCACATTAAATCTGATTCCTTGGCATCTTAAAGAATTAAAATTGATTTCTCCAATTCAGAAAAGTTTTGTATTATTTTAAACAGAATTAAAAAAAAAAAGCCTGATTCCAAAAATATGTAATATTTCTATGTAAAGCAAGTGTGGACTGAGTTAGAGGGGTTTTCGACACACAGACGGACAGACAGAATTTGCTATGTATTTATTTAGATTACGATTTTATTCCTGTCTGTTTCAGCTGCTCTTCATTGAATTGATACAGGCCATCAGCTTACGGTCCTTAGTAGTAATATTATCTTAAATTTTATTCTTATTATCTGAAACATTATCAACCATTATTAAATTTTTATTAGTGTCTTTCATCTCAATTTCAGTTGCTTTTCATTGCAACTACAGAGAAAGTCATTCTGAAGCCGTTAATGTTTCACAATCGATATTTAATTGACATGTCTCTTATTGATGCTGAGATACGAAACGCGGCAACTTATAATTGAATATCGGAATTTGGAGCTAAAGATCTAGCAAATGTGAACAAGTGAAAGTTTTTTTTTTAATTATTGATTTATTCTACGGCTTATCCACTCTTTGCAGGTTATTTAAAGTCATTATTTTAGATCCTAAGCATTTGGTTAAGTTAATAATAATTTAATGACACAGGTCCTACTGATTAATCCATAGTTTACTACGGCTTATCCACTCTTTGCAGGTTATTTAGTCGTTATTTAGTCATTATTTTAGATCGTAAGAATTTGTTCAAAATGATAATAACTTAATGATACAAGTCATATTGATTAACCCATAGCTGGAGGGAGAAGAGGTGGATTTATACCTTTACCAACGGTATTTGCGCGTAAGGAAATGGAACTCGGTTTTCCGATTAACAATCACGAAACATTAACTATTGCACAGTTCGTACACCCAAGATCCCAGCACATGACATTCCCAAGCAGTCGTCTATCAAAGTACTGACCCGATTCGACGTTGCTTAACTTCGGTGATAGCACAGGAACAGGTGTTTCAATGTGATGTAGCCGTAATCAGTAAAGGATAGAAACAAGTAGTTTAAAAAGTGGTCGAAAATACTTATTCTAAATCGTATTATCCCCTCTGACAAACTCCGGGTATGTCATAGACATAAGGAATTCTACACGACATGATTTCGCGTATTGCTTATATTCTGAGAAAATGTGGGCACCTCGAGCGGTGTAATGGTTAGCAAGCTTGTCTCGCTAGAACAATTACCAGTGAGTTCGATCCTCACTGGGTGTCCCATACCTTCGGCCTTGGGACACATGTAAGCTACGCAAAGAAAATCACTATACTCAGAAAATGTCTTGCGTAAAAGGAATCAAAGAATACGTTGAAATGTATTTGCTTAGAAATCGGCAACAAATCCATGATATATAAATTCTTCTCCGTGTTATTATTATAAGGCCGTACCTTTTTTTGAACACCATGTCCTTTCAGCACGAAAGTAATCATGGCTTTCCGCAAAATCCTATTCTTTATAATCTGTGAATTGCAATAATTTCTAGGGAAAGAGCATGTAATAGTTTCCTGTTGTTTTCTCCGTGGTTTTGAATACAGTTGTTGGTAAACGAAAGTGGCTTCACCTTAGGTTAGAGAGCTCAGTCTAACCTTCTACTTAAATCATAGCCAAACGAAGAAGAAATAAATAAATACCTGTTCCAAGGGAATAGCGCCAAGTGAACTTCACAGATTATGCTTGATCTTGAACTTGTCATACCGATTCCATCTCAAGTGTCGATGGCATTTACTCAACCAGCATATCAACACGTAGCGTAAAATGCCATAATATCGGAACATTTAAAATATTTATTTACTAATCGTGACTTTATATAGTACGAGGTTATTAGCGTGAAGTGGCGAGTATCAGGGAAACTGATTTGTAAAACGAATCTGTTATCGCGCGCAAAATAAGCGACATAAATACCGACGAAATTACCCCAGGCAAAACGCCGCAATAGCCGCGACCATCCTAGAAAAAGTACTTTAATACATTTGCTAATTGTTTTGTGAGATAAGCCTGTTAAACATCCAGCCAACATAGGCGCCTCCTGATAAAAGTATAATATTATCTATGAGGTCAAATATGTAATACATATTTTAAGTGCATTCAAATATGAATCTTGAAATATCTATTTTAAAAAGTATTATATTAAAATCTTATCTTTTGGAGGATCTGTTTTATTACTAATAGAAATAAGAAACCGTCCTCTTAATTAATTATATATATATATATATATATATATATATATATATATATATATATATATATATATATATATATATATATTATAATAACCTTGTGGAACATAGGGCTGCAAGATATCTTCAGGATTTCTATTACAAGCCGATTCTTGTAAGTGAGTGTGTTGTTAGCCTACTGCACAACCCCCAATCTGTAGGATAAAGTTTTGAATTCAGAGTTGTCCTTCTCCTAGGCTATAGAACCCGGTCTGTCCTACTATTTACTCATAGCTTGCGGGGAGAGGAAGAGAATTCATACTTTTCCCAAGGGTATTATCACGTAATTGAATATAATGGTTTCGACTGGAATTCGAACTTACCTATCCGATTCCTCAATCCGTGCCACTATTCATTACTTCACCATTCCCCTAATTTATACCCAACTCAAAATTATATTTATTCGTACTCTATCCATACTGTTTAAAAAATTACAAGATATAAAAAATTATATTCTGAAGCACTTGAGATTTTTTTTAATATGTGATGCATTTTAGACTCATTTCAGTTCAAGCAAAGCTACAATACCAGCAAGACGCCATTGAGAGTGAAAGAGAATGAGAATATTTCAGTGAGGACAAAGGACAATAAAAAACAGGATTCAAGAAGACAGAAAATAGTGATTGCTCTCGAGCAGATTATTCGCATTAACAGCTGCTTTGCGAAACCGACTTCCAAGGGGATGCTTCCTCAGTCTCTTCAATCTTAATGTGTTCAAATCTAGGTTTAACCGTTATCATCTTCGCGTATTCCAATAGACTCTACCACGTTGTAACTATCTACCTTGAGTGGCGCTTGGGCCTGGTACAGGATGAACACCATTTAAAAAAGAAAAGGTTGGATTGATCTGGTACAAGGAAAATGCTAGCAGGGGGAAAGAGGAAGATGGTAATGCGTCACTTTTTAACTGATTTCGAACTCAAAATTGTTTGCCGCAATAGAAAACACGTAACTGTATGATTAACGAAACGAGATTCATTTCCAGCTTTTATACCTGTAACTGTGTTGTATAAAACCCGAATCAAATGAATTGTTTGAATAATAATGATTCCATCAAAACACACGGTAAGCGTGTAGTGTCATCTTTGCACAAAGCTCTGTCAAAATAAGACAAAACACAATTAGGCACAGACTTCCCGTTGCATTATTTTCGCCGACGACCGAAATCGACTTCGTTGTCTCACTATGGTAGGGAACACATTGTTATTAGTCACGTGAAAAACGCCAATAACACAAGATCTGCTTTTTCAGATTGGACATAAGAGGATAGTGTTACGCCCATTCTTTGAACGATCTTATCATTGTCTCCAAAACTTGATTGTTGTTGCTAGCGCTATAATACATTGTACTTAAAGAAACGTAGATTGATGTCGTACACCAGATTTCCGTCTCAAATTGTTGCCTATTTCCTATGGGCTCCTCCGTTCAGTACTGGAGATTGAATGAAAGAATAAGTGAACTGCTGACTTTGGTGTCTGTCAATAGAGCTGGGGTAAGACTTCTCTAACTTAAAAAGGAATGCAGCACATTGTTCATATCACCTGAAACTCAGAGTTAATCTCGTGCCATATAAATTTAATTTGGCTCACTATTTCCTATTTGATGATATTGTAACGGTTATTGATGGGGAAAATAGTAACGGGGATCTGAGTTCAAGTTTCGGTCTAGACTGTTGCGTTCACTTCGCGCTAATTTCTTCCTAAAAGTGTGAATACATCCTTCACTCATGTTATTCGTTACATAGTACGATAGGCTGTGAATCCTAGCGTTGGATGACAGCTAATCTCGGAGAATTATTATTACTCATTCAAAATCCACGTGGAAGCCAGCGGGAAACGCCACCACTATTTTTCCCAAGACTCCATGGCAATTATCAAGTGAAAAAAGAAAAGTAATAAGTGGAAGGCCATGTCCTGAACAAATATGGCATTAAATAAAAACAGTACATTGAAAGAGACATTGAGAATAGCCATTACTTGTGTTACAGTCTCTACATTAAAATGTTTATCGCGATACATCGCCGTAATGTGTTCATATGCTCATCCATAGACTGTCCCAGTGACGGAAATTTCGTTTTTACTATAAATCTTGTACTTATCGTTCTTTTACAACTGTAAATAATGAGTACCTAAATAACATAGCTATGACAATGCAAATATCGCAAGCCACTTACGTAACAAATCAACTTATGTCAAATCTTCCAAACTGCTGTAACTCTATCATTTTGTTTATTTTATAGTATTTAACATCAACACTACACAAAGACCTGCTTGATTTATGAGAAAAGCATGATTTACATTGGGCAGATACCTGAGTTACCAGTAACATTTCCTTGAAACAAAAAGGCTTACAACATTATAGGGAATGAGATCTGTAGATGAAGAAAACCGTAGGGAAAAGACAAGGATGCCGTTTCTAACCAGATCTATTTAAGCTAAACAGCCAAACACGTAGAAAAAAACGAAATACCCTACAAGGATCTCTTATCAGTAAATATGTTATTAACAACATACGATACGTGGATTACGACGTAATGTATATTCAGAAAGAAACGTGAAATAACCCTTATATAATGTAATAAAAAAGAAAAGACTACCAAGCATAAGAACACAGAATGCATGGATGTCGGCAAAAGAAGCAGCCATAGTGTGAGCTACATAGTTTGGGCATTAAAATCATGCAGCTTCAGAAATCCAACCACATGGGGAGTATAGACAGAGAATGAGTGTGGAATTACAATTTAATTTCTAATCTCCAAAACGGAAGTGAATAGTGAGTATTTCCTCACAAAGGAAAAAGACATAATCGATGAATCATATGAATAAACTGCATAAGACAAAGATATAAGGAATATAGGAAATAATAATTCTATGCTCCGTGTCCTTTCAGGACATGAGTCTCCACAATTTCTTGTCCTTTATAGCCCTTAACTTTTGTCTTTTTATTATCTCTCCTAAACCTTTCTCTGATATCCAAGCTCGCTAGGTAAGTTATGCATTGTTTTTCCTCTTTACCTCTTGCTTTCAGTCTGTCCTGTGAATATTAAATTTTCCAACCATTCGTTCCTCATTGTGGTCTCCAGAAATTTCAACTGCTCCTTCTTGATTTTAAGCATGTGTCTTTTTTTGTTTCAATTTTTTCTAAAGTTTCGTCATGTCTCTTCTTCATTTGCCAGGAGATTGTTGATCATTCACTGCAATATACGATGACTGATATTACATAACAGTAAGATTTTCTTAGACATTTATATTTACAATCAAAGAGATTTCTGGGAGAATTAATATGGAAACATGAACTAGAATATTTAACACTTAAATGACATACCGAATACAAAACGAGAAGAGGAATGTGCTATTAACCTCATATATTATTGTAATCATTTTACCCTAAACAAGGCGATAATACCACTGAGAGTGAAAGAGAATGAAAAAGCGTTAGAGAGGAGAAAATACAATAAAAGAACAAGATTCAGGAACGGAGATGTTGATTTATGTTGCATTTAAACTTTTGAATATTGTAGGTGACAGGAAGTTAAGAAACCGGAAGAGACTTCCAAAAGTGAGAAGTGCGAGAATAGAAACTGTTTCAATAGAACATATGGTTATACCTAGTTGTTTAAATACTAAGTTGATGAAACTTAATTGTTTAGTCTCGTACTATGTCTATATTCATGCGGTCGATATGCCAAGGAGTAAACATCGTTAGAATAAAAAACATGAAAATATTTATAGAAAGGCCACATAAAAACCACGTAACGACGATAAGAGATTGACTGAAGGCGAAATGTCATGTCAAGACCAAAAACATTACAAATCCTTTTTTGAATTTTATCAAGAATCTCAACATATATAGCAAGAGATCCAGACTAGATGTGACGCAAATTTTCAATGCACAGACAAATGGTAGATGTATAAACGTACAAGATAGATTCTGGCAAGTGAGTATTTTCTAGCACGATACTGTGAACTAATTTTCCTAACAGGATTACTAGCAATTGATTCAATATAATCGTTCCACTTCATGTTGGTGAATAATATGAAAGTGGGAGGTTAATCTTAGCCATGTTGATGGAGAGGACAAATTGTTTTATATGACGTCTTGAAGACATCCGCTTCGTTTCGGAGGCGATACAAACTGTTATTGTCCAAATAAACAACAGTTTGAATATAAATTTTGGGTATCAATTGTCAGTGTTACTTTATCAAATCCATCGGACGTACTAAGACAGGAGTAAATAGTTGTCTTCCCATCATAAATAACGTGGTAGAAACTTATATCAGGAAGATTGTTGAAGAATATAAGAAGCAATGTAAATCCAAGGGTAACACCCGTATTAATGTGTAAAGTCTTATAACAGTAGCCCTTCAACACGACACTTTCTTACACGATTTGTCAAGAAAGATTAGATCAACTCAAACATTCGGCTGGAGACACCATAGACCTTCCATTTGTGAAGAAAACCTGCATGCAAAAACTTGTCAAACGGTTTTGAGATATCGAAACACCTAGTCAGAGATAACCCATAATGCTACTATAATAATTGGCCTCATCATACGAAGTTTGTTTTCTATTTACTGCAGTTCAAAGCCATGCCATCGATATTTTACTCCGTTTTTCAACTTCTCTAATTATCAATGATAATGTTCTAGCTTCGAGTCCACGGTTATCTCCCTTTTAACCACACTCATTTTCCGTTTTTCCCCTTCTCAAATTATCAATGATAATGTTCTAGCTTCGAGTCCATGGTTAACTCCCATTTAACCACACTCATTTTCCGTTTTTCCCCTTCTCTAATTATCAATGATAATGTTCTAGCTTCAAGTCCATGGTTATCTCCCTTTTAACCACACTCATTTTCCGTTTTCCCCTTTCTCTAATTATCAATGATAATATTCTAGCTTCACTTCCATGGTTATCTCCTTTTAACCACACTCATTTTCCGTTTTCCCCTTCTCTAATTATCAATGATAATGTTCTAGCTTCAAGTCCATGGTTATCTTCCTTTTAACCACACTCATTTTCCGTTTTCCAATGTTCTCCATGGTTTCACCCAACCACACTCATTTTCCGTTTTTCTTCAAGTCCATGGTTAGCTCAAGTCCATGGTTATCTCCCATTTAACCACACTCATTTTCCGTTTTCCCACTTCTCTAAGCTTCATTATCATCAAGTATTCAATGTTCTTCCTTCACCTGGCATTTTCCGTTTTCCATGGTTTATCAATTAATCCTTCCATTTCCCCCCTTTTAACCCTTCACACACTTTTAATTATCAATGATCTTCAAGTCATCAAGTTATCTTTTCCGTTTTTCCCCTTCTTTAATTATCAATGATAATGTTCTAGCTTCAAGTCCATGGTTATCTCCCGCTTTAACCACACTCATTTTCCGTTTTCCCCTTCTTTAATTATCAATGATAATGTTCTAGCTTCAAGTCCATGGTTATCTCCCTTTTAACCACACCTCATTTTCCGTTTTCCCCTTCTCTTAATTATCAATGATTCTGTTCTAGCTTCAAGTCCATGGTTATCTCCTTTTAACCACACTCATTTTTTTTCCCTTTTTTCTCAATGATTCTTTTAATTATCAATTTCCGTTTTCCCTTCTAATTATCAATGATAATGTTCTAGCTTCAAGTCCATGGTTATCTCCTTTAACCACCTGGCATTTTCCGTTTTCCCCTTCTTTAATTATCAATCAATAATGTTCTAGCTTCAAGTCCATGGTTATCTCCCTTTTTAACCCACACTCATTTTCCGTTTTCCCCTTCTCTAATTATCAATGATAATGTTCTAGCTTCAAGTCCATTTTATCTCCCTTTTAAATACACACCTCATTTTCCGTTTTCCGTTTTCCCTCTTTAATTATCAATGATAATGTTCTAGCTTTTTTTCCATGGTTATCTCCCTTTTAACCACAGCACCTTTTTTTCCGTTTTCCCCTTCTCTAATTATCAATGATAATGTTCTAGCTTCAAGTTTCATGGTTATCTCCTGGCATTTCATTTTCCCATTTCCCTTCAAGCTAATTATCAATGATAATTTCTCTACTTCCAAGTCCATGGTTATCTCCCTTTTAACCACACTCATTTTCCGTTTTCCCCTTCTTACATTATCAATGATAATGTTCTAGCTTCAAGTCCATGGTTATCTCCCTTTTTCCGTTTTCCCCTTTAATTACAATGATAACGTCACAATCATTTTCCGTTTTCCCTCTTCTCTAATTATCAATGATAATGTATTCTCCACTTCCCGGTTTTCCAAGTCCACCTGGTTTTCCGTTTTCCCGCACTTAATTATCATCAATACCACTTCAAGTTTTTCCGTTTTCCCGTTTTCCCTTTCAATTATCAATGATAATGTTTCTAGCTTCAAGTCCATGGTTATCTCCCTTTTTAACCACCTCATTTTTCCGTTTTCCCTTCTTTAATTATCAATGATAATGTTTCTAGCTTCAAGTCCATGGTTATCTCCCTTTTAACCACACTCATTTTCCGTTTTCCCCTTCTTTAATTATCAATGATAATGTTCTAGCTTCAAGTCCATGGTTATCTCCCTTTTAACCACACTCATTTTCCGTTTTCCCCTTCTTTAATTATCAATGATAATGTTCTAGCTTCAAGTCCATGGTTATCTCCTTTTAACCACACTCATTTTCCGTTTTCCCTTCTCAAATTATCAATGATAATGTTCTAGCTTCAAGTCCATGGTTATCAAACACACCTGGCATTTTCGTTTTTCTCCTTTTCCCCACACCTCATTTTCCGTTTTCCCCTTCTTTAATTATCAATGATAATGTTCCAGCTTCAAGTCCATGGTTATCTCCAACCACACTCATTTCCGTTTTCCCTTCTTTAATTATCAATGATAATGTTCTAGTTTTCTTCAAGTTCATGATTATCTCCCTTTTAACTCCCACTTCCTGGCATTTCCGTTTTCCCCTTTCTAATTATCAATGATAATGTTCTAGCTTCAAGTCCATGGTTATCTCCCTTTAACCACACTCATTTTCCGTTTTTCCCTTCTTTAATTATCATTTTCCAAGTTTTTTCCCTTCTTTAATTTCCCCCCAATTTCAATGTTCCATCATCAAGTCCATCTTATCTCCCTTTTAACCAATACAGCATTTTCCGTTTTCCCTTCTCTAATTATCACTGATAATGTTCTAGCTTCAAGTCCATGGTTATCTCCCCTTTTAACCCGTTTTCTCATTTTCAAGCTTTCCCTTCTCTAATTATTCAATGATAATGTTCTTTCCGTTTTCCCGCTTCAAGTCCATCATCAATATTCTCCTTCAAGTTTTTTAACCACACCACATTTTTTCGTTTTCCCCATTCTTTAATTATCAATGATAATGTTCTAGCTTCCCGTCCACCGTTATCTCCCTTCAAGAATACACACCTCATTTTCCGTTTTCCCTTCTCAATTATCACTGATAATGTTCTAGCTTCAATCATTTAACCACAGTCATTTTCCGTTTTTCCCTTCTTTTCAATAAATTATCAATTTCCGTTTTCCCGTTTTAATCCAAATTTCCCGTTTTCAATTATCACTTAATGTTCAAGTCCATTCTATCTCCCAAATCTTTCCCTTTTAACCACACTCATTTTCCGTTTTCCCTTCTTTAATTATCAATGATAATGTTCTTCCTTCAAGTCCATACAGCACCTGGCATTTTCCGTTTTTCCCCTTTCAATTATCATCATTTTCTAGCTTCCATGTTTTTCCCTTTAACCACACCTTTTCCGTTTTTCCCTTCAATAGTTATCAATGATAATGTTCATCATCCATGTTCTTCCCCCTTTTCAATGATCAATGATAATGTTCTAGCTTCAACCTATTCCGTTTAACCACACTCCCGTTTTCCATTATCAATGATAATGTTCTCCACTTCCATGGTTTCCCTTTTACAGCACCTGGCATTTCCGTTTTCCCAATCTAATTATCAATGATAATGTTCTAGTTCAAGTCCATGGTTATCTCCCTTTTATACAGCACCTGGCATTTTCCGTTTCCCTTCTTTAATTATCATGATAATGTTCTCTTCAAGTCCATGGTTATCTCCTTTTAACCACCTCATTTCCGTTTTCCCCTTTCAAGCTTCAATCATCAATATTCTCCACTTCCCGCTTTCCAAGAATACTCACCTGGCATTTCCGTTTTTTTTTCAAGCTTACACTCATCATCATTTTCTCCCTTCCGCTTTTAATTACAGCAATGATTTCCGTTTTCCACCTTTCAAGCTTCAATCATCAATATTCTCCACTTCCCCTTTTAAGAATACCAGCACCTGGCATTTCCGTTTTCCCGCACTTTCAATTTCAATCATCAATATTCTCCACTTCCCGCTCTTCAAGAATACAGCACCTGGCATTTCCGTTTTCCCGCACTTTCAACCACATCATCATTTCCGTTTTCTCCTTCCGTTTTCCGCTTACTCATCAAATACAGCACCTGGCATTTCCGTTTTCCCCTACTTTCAAGCTTACATCATCAAGTATTCTCTACTTCCCGCTTTTCCAAGAATACAGCACCTGGCATTTCCGTTTTCCCGCACTTTCAAGCTTACATCATCAAGTATTCTCCACTTCCCGCTTTTCCAAGAATACAGCACCTGGCATTTCCGTTTTCCCGCACCACAAGCTTCCATCATCAAGTATTCTCCACTTCCCGCTCTTCCAAGAATACAGCACCTGGCATTTCCGTTTTCCCTTTCAAGCTTACATCATCAAGTATTCTCCACTTCCCGCTCTTCCAAGAATACAGCACCTGGCATTTCCGTTTTCCCGCACTTTCAAATTCCATCATCAAGTATTCTCCTTCCCGCTCTTCCAAGAATACAGCACCTGGCATTTCCGTTTTCCCGCACTTTCAAGCTTCCATCATCAAGTATTCTCCACTTCCCGCTTTTCAAGAATACAGCACCTGGCATTTCCGTTTTCCGTTTTCCCACCCACTTCCCGCATTTTCCGTTTTCCTGGTTTCCCCTTCTAGTATTCTCATCATCGATCAACTTCCGTTTTCCCAAATACAGCACCTGGCATTTCCCCATTTTACACCACTTTCAAGCATTTCCATCAAGCATTCTCCACTTCCCGCTCTTCCATTATACAGCAACTGGCATTTCCGTTTTTCCCCTTCAAGCTTACCATGGTATTCTCCACTTCCCGCTCCCAAGAATACAACCTGGCATTTCCGTTTTCCCGTTTTTTCCATTACACCTACCACCCGCATATCCAAAATACAGCACCTGGCATTTCCGTTTTCCCGCAAGCTTTCAAGCATCTATGTTCAACAGGCTCTGCGTTGCTCAACCTCAGATATCGTACCACCTCGGCATTTCCGTTTTTCCCAGCATTTGGAGTCATTATCAATTATTCTCCACCTCCATTCTCCAAAATACAGCACCTGGCATTCCGTTTTCCCCGTCACCCATCTATCATACTGAATTCTCTCACTTCCCGCTCTTCCTCAGATATCGCACCTGGCAATCCGTTTTCCCGATTAATAATTTGAGTCATTATCCATTCTCCACTTCCCGCATATCCAAAATTACAGCACCTGGCATTCCCAAGCCCGTCACCCATCTATGTACTGAACAGGCTTCTGGCATTTGCTCAACCTCAGATATCAGCACCTGGCATTCCGCTTTCCCGATTTTCAATTTGATCATCATTATCCCTACACCACCCGCATCTGGAATTCCAGCACCTGGCATTTCCGTTTTCACCCATCTTGTCTGAACATCTGGCATTGCCAAGCGACCTCCACCTGGCTCTTCCAAGAATACAGCACCTGGCATTTCCGTTTTCCCCCACATTCAAACTTACATCATCAAGTATTCTCCATTACACCCATTCTTCCAAGAATACAGCACCTGGCATTTCCCAAGTCCCCATCTAAGGCTTCCATCATCAAGTATTCTCCACTTCCTCACTCATATCCAGAATACAGCACCTGGCATTTCCGCGATCCCCACCTGATTTCCCAAGCTTACATCATCAAATATTCTCCACCACCCGCATATCCAAACTTACAGCACCTGGCATTTTCCGTTTTCCCGCACCTGGCTATCATCAACAGGCTCCTGCCCTTCTTCAAGCGATCAGCACCTGGCATTTCCGTTTTCCAACAAATCAAGCTTAATCGATCAATAATTCTCCATTTCCATTATCCATTACACATTTCCGCATTTTCCAGCACCTATTTCAAGCTTACATCATCTGGTATTCTCCACTTCCGTTGCTCATTCCCAAGAATACCAGCACCTGGCATTTCCGCGACCAGCACCTGATTTTCCATTATCCATTCTCCACTTCCCGCTCTTCCAAGAATCAGCACCTGGCATTTCCGTTTTCAACACCTGACATTCATCAAGCGATTCTCCACCTCCCATATCCAAAATACAGCATCAACACCTCATTCCCCGCATTTCAACACCATCATCCCAAGCGATTCTCCACCTGGCATTCCTCCAGCGATCATACACCTGGCATTTCCAAGCGTTGCTCAACTTTCAATCGTACCATCATCAATCGGCTCCCAAGATTCCCGCATTTGGAGTTCCCAAATACCAGCACCTGGCATTTCCAAACTTTCAGCACCTGGCATTCCCATCACCCATCTATTCTCCACTTCCCGCTCCCTCAGAATATCAGCACCTGGCATTCCCTTTCCCGATCAATAATTTCCATCATTATTCCATTCGACCACCCGCATTCCCAAAATTACAGCACCTGGCATTCCCCCGCCGTCACCCATCCTGGCAACGGCCTCCCGCTCAACAGATATCATTCCCAAATCCCGCTCACCTGATTAATAATTTGAATTATTCAGCACCTGGCATTTCCAAAATTCCAAAAAGCGACCATCACCTGGCATCTCCAAGCGTCACCCATCATACAGCACCTGGCATTCCCAAGTTTTTCCCCACTTTTTGCTTACAACCTCAAGATTCTCCAATCTCCCTCTTCAAGAATACAGCACCTGGCATTTTGAGTTTTCCATTACACCACCTTATCAAACTTACATCATCAAGCGATCTCCACTTCCCCATCTTCCAAGAATACAGCACCTGGCATTTCCGTTTTCCCCTGACATTTCAAGTCATTATCATCACCAAGGCATTCCAAGCTTCCAGCACTTTCCAAGCCGTCACAGCACCTGGCATTTCCGTTTTCAACCTCAGATATCGTACCGCAAATCGGCTGCAGCACCTTAATTTTTCCATTATCCATTACACCACCTGGCATTCCCCAAACTTACAGCACCTGGCATTCCCAAGCCGTCACCCATCTATGTAAGCGAACAGGCATGCATTGCTCCAACCTCAGATTCCCAACCGATCATCTGGCTTCCCGATTAATAATTTGGGCATTATCCATTACACCACCCTGCATTCCAAACGACCAGCACCTGGCATTTCCGTTTTCCGTTCAACATCTATCATCAAGTATTCAGGCTTCCGTTGCTCAACCTCAGAATATCGTACCTGGCAAATCGGCATTCCCGATTAATTTTGGAGTCATTATCCATTACACCACCCCCGCATATCCAAACTTACAGCACCTGGCATTCCCGTTTTCACCCATTCTATGTACATCATCAACAGGCTCCTGCGTTGCTCAACCAAGAATATCACCTGGCATTTCCGCTTTCCCGATTAATAATTTGGAGTCATTATCCATTCTCACCACCCTCTTCCAAACTTACAGCACCTGGCATTTCCGTTTCACCCATCTTCATGTACTGAACAGGCTCCGTTGCTCAACCTCAACCAGCACCTGGCATTCGGTTTTCCCGCGATTTCAATTTGATCATCATTATCCATTCCCACTCTTCCAAAATACAGCACCTGGCATTTCCGTTTTCCCAGCACCTCTATTACATCAGGCACCGTTGCTCCACTTCCCGATCTTCCAAGAATACAGCACCTGGCATTTCCGTTTTCCACACTTTCAAATTCATCATCAAGTATTCTCCATCCAAACTGCTCTTCCAAAGCGAATACACCTGGCATTTCCCCCGCCGTTCACCCATCATCAAACGATCCACTTCCCGCTCTTCCAAGAATACCTCAGCACCTGGCAATTCGGCTTTTCCCGATTTCAAATTTACATCATCAAGTATCCATTACACCACCTGCATATCCAAACGACAGCACCTGGCATTCCTAAGCCGTCCACCACCCATCTATTACTGATCAGGCTATGCTTCCAACCTTCAGATATCGTTCCGGAAAATCAGCACCTGGCATTAATAATTTGGAGTCATTTCCATTACACCACCCGCATATCCAAACTTACAGCACCTGGCATTCCCAAGCCGTCCAGCATTCTATGTACAGCACCTGGCATTCTCCGTTTTCCCAACCTCAGATATCACCGGCGATCAGCATTAATAATTTCAAGTTATCCATTCAAGCATATCCAATCAACCCCTCTTCCAAGAATACCAGCACCTGGCATTTCCGTTTTCCCTCACTTTCAAATCGCTTACAACATCAAGTATTCTCTACTTCCCCGCTCTTCCAAGAATACAGCACCTGGCATTTCCAAGCCCTCACTTTCTATGTACTTACATCACAATCTTCTCCACCATATCTTCCAAGAATCAGCACCTGGCAATTCCCAAGCCCGATTAATAATTTACATCATCAAGTATTCTCCACTTCCCGCATATCCAAAATTACAGCACCTGGCATTCCTAAGCCGTCACCCATCTTTGTACTTAACATCATCAATTTGCTCAACCTCAGATATCCCGCTCTCCCAAGAATACAGCACCTGGCATTTTCCCAAGCCTGGCATTTCCCCACCACCCGCATATACATCATCAAGTATTCTCACCTGGCTCTTCCAAGAATACCAGCACCTGGCATTTATGTTTTCCATTACATCATCAATATTCTTCCCATTCCCGCTCTTTCCAAGAATTATCCAGCACCTGGCATTTCCAAACGACCCTGCACCTTCATTTCTTACATCATCAAGCATCTATGTACTTCCAGGCTCTTCCAAGAATACACCTCCTGGCATCGTACCGTTTTGCCCGATTAATAATTTGAGTCATTATCCATTCTCACCACCCGCATATCCAAATTACAGCACCTGGCATTTCCGTTTTCCGTCACCCATCTATGTACTGAACAGGCTCTGCGTTGCTCATTCTCAGATATCAGTACCTGGCAATCGGCTTTTTCCCGATTAATAATTTCTGGCATTTTATCCATTACACCACCCGCATTCCAAACTTACAGCACCTGGCATTCCCAAAGCCGTCACCCATCTATGTCCTGAACAGGCTCTGCGTTGCTCCTGGCAACCTCAGATATCGTTATCCTGGAAATTCCCGGCTGCCCGATTTCAATAATTTCAGTCATTCTCCATTACACCACCCCATATCCAAACTTACAGCACCTGGCATTTCCGTTTTCCGTCACCCATCTATGTATTCTCAACAGGCTCTTCCAAGCTCAACCTCAGATATCGTTTTTCCGGAAATTTCAAGCCCGATTATCATCAAGTCATTCTCCATTTCCACCTGCATTCCAAACTTACAGCACCTGGCATTTCCGCCGTCCCCCATCTATGTACATCAACAGGCTTCTCCGTTGCTCAACCTTCCAAGATATCAGCACCTGGCAATCGGCCGTTTTCCCGCATTTGGAGTTACATTATCCATTACACCACCCGCATATCCAAACTTACAGCACCTGGCATTCCCCAAGCCGTTTTTCCATCTATGTACTTTCCCAGGCTCATCAAGTTGCTCAACCTCCCCGATATCAACACCTGAAAATCATTGCCAAGCGATTAATAACCTTTCCCAAGCGTCATTATCCATTACACCACCCGCATTCTCCATCCAAACCAATACAGCACCTGGCATTTCCAAGTTTTCCGTCACCCATCATGTTTCATCAAGCTTCTGCGTTGCCCAACTTCCAGATATCAGCACCTGGCAATTCCGTTTTCCCGATTTCAATTTACATCATCAAGTATTCTCCCTTCCCGCATATCCAAACTTACAGCACCTGGCATTTCCGTTTTCCCGTCACCATCAAGTTACATCAACAAGCTCTACTTTGCTCTTCCAAGAATACAGCACCTGGCATTTCCGTTTTCCCGCACGATCAAGATTACATCATTTGGAGTCATTATCCATTACACCACCCTCATTCCCAAAATTACAGCACCTGGCATTTCCGTTTTCCCACCTTCACCCATCTATCATCTGAACAGGCACTTCCCGCTCTTCCTCAGATACAGCACCTGGCAATTTCCTTTTCCCGATTAATTATTTCATCATTATCCATCCACCACCCCGCATATCCAAACTTACAGCACCTGGCATTTCCGTTTTCCCACCCATCTTTACTGAACAGGCTTGCATTGCTCAACCTCATTCTCCAAAATCCCCTGCCCTTAATAATTTGAGTCATTATCCATTACATTTCCCGCATATCCAAACTTACAAGCACCAGCACCTGGCATTCCCAAGCCGTCACCCATCTATTACTTTTCCCCAGCAACATTCCCAAGGCTCTCACTTCCCGCTCAACCTCAGATATCGTACCGGCAATTCTGGCTTTCCCGATTAATAATTTGATCATCATTATTCATTACACCACCCTCATTCCAAACTTACAGCACCTGGCATTCCCAAGCCGTCACCCATCTATGTACATGAACAGGCTCTGCGTTGCTCAACCTCAAGATATACAGCACCTGGCAATCGGCTTTCCCGATTTCAAATTTGAGTCATCATCCATTACACTTCCCGCATTCCAAACTTACAGCACCTGGCATTCCTAAGCCGTCACCCATCTATGTACTGAACAGGCTCAAGCGTTCTCTCAACCTCAGATATCGTTCCGTTTTCCGAAATCAACACCTGATTATTTTGGAGTTTTTTTCCGCATTCCCCAAGCGATACATCATCAAGCATTCTCCAAGCCGCACCCATCCCCTGAACAGGCTCTGCACCAACCCTGTTTCCCAAGCCGACATTATCCATGGCATTCTCCATATCCAAACTTCCAGCACCTGGCATTTCCCAAGCGATCAGGCACCTGGCATTTCCCGTTTTCAACCTCAGATTCAAGCTTAAATCAAGTATTCTCGATTAATTTTGAGTCTTATCCAAGAATACACCACCTGGCATTTCCAAACTTTTCTGGCATTCCTAAGCCGTCACCCATCAATGTACTGAACAGGCCTGCGTTGCTCTTCCCAAGATATCGTACCGGCACCTGGCATTTCCCGATTAATAATTTGAGTCATCATCAATTATTCACCACCCGCATATCCAAACTTACAGCACCTGGCATTTCCTAAGCCGTCACCCATCTGGTACCCACAGGCTCTCCATTGCTCAACCTCAGATATCGTACCGGAAATCTGGCTGCCCAAGATTACAGCACCTGGCATTTCCGTTTTCACCACCCTTATCCAAACTTACAGCACCTGGCATTCCCAAGCCGTCACCCATCTATGTACAGAACAGGCATTTCCGTTTTCCCCACCTCAGATATCGTACCGGAAATCAAAGCGATTAATAATTTGCAGTCATTATCCATTACACCACCTGGCATATCCAAACTTTCCAGCACCTGGCATTCCCAAGCCGTCACCCATCTATGTATTCCGTACTCTGCCTGCTCAACCTCAGATATCGCACCTGGCATTTCCGTTTTCCCGACCAATAATTTGGAGTCATTATCCATTACACTTCCCGCATATCCCAAACTTACAGCACCTGGCATTCCCGTTTTCACCCATCTTTCAACTGAACAGGCTCTGCGTTGCTCAACCTCAGATATCGTCCGGAAATCGGCACCTGGATTAATAATTTGAGGTCATTATCCATTACACCACCTCCCATATCCAAACTTACAGCACCTGGCATTTCACCCATCTATGTACTGAACAGGCTCAAGCGTTGCTCATCCTCAGATATCGTCCACTTCCGGCTCTTCCAATTAATACATTTGGAGCATTTCCATTTTCCACCCGCATATCCAAACTTACAGCACCTGGCATTCTCCAAGCCCCGTCACCCATCTATACAGCAACAGGCCTGGCATTTCCCCAACCTTACATCATATCATTCTCCTTCCCGCTCTTCCAATACAGCACCTGGCATTTCCGATTTCCCGCATTTGAGTCATTCATCCAGTACACCACCCGCATATCCAAACTTACAGCACCTGGCATTTCCGTTTTCCCAGTCACCCATCATGTACTCAACATCTCTCTACTGCTCAACCAAGATATCAGCACCTGGCATTCCCGATTTCAACCTGAGTCATTATCCATTACACTCACCTTATCCAAACTTACAGCACCTGGCATTCCCAAGCCGTCACCCATCTATGCTTACTCAACAAGCTCCACTGCATTCTTCAAGAATCAGCACCTGGCATTTCCGTTTTCCCCGATTTCATAATTTGGATCATCAAGTATTCTCACTTCCCGCATATCCAAACTTACAGCACCTGGCATTTCCGTTTTCCGTCACCCATCTATGTATCATCAACATTCTCTACTTCTCAACCTTCCATATCGTATACAGCACCTGGCATTTCCGTTTTCCCGCACTTTTGGAGTCATTATCCATTATTCTCCCGCATCCCAAACTTACAGCACCTGGCATTTCCCAAGCCGTCACCCATCTATTACATCAACAAGCGACCCACTTGCTTAAGAATCAGCACCTGGCATTTCCGTTTTTAATAACTTTCAAGTTACATTATCCATTATTCACCACTTCCATATTCCAAGAATACAGCACCTGGCATTTCCGTTTTCCACCCATCTATGTACTCATCAAGTATTCTCCACTTCCCAACTCTTCCAAAATACAGCACCTGGCATTTCCGTTTTCCCGATTTTCAAGCTGAGTCATTATCAAGTATTCACCACCTCCCGCTCTTCAAAAATACAGCACCTGGCATTTCCGTTTTCCCATTTCATGCTTACATCATCAAGTATTCTCCACTTCCCGCTCTTCCAAGAATACAGCACCTGGCATTTCCGTTTTCCCCATACTTTCAAGCTTACATCATCAAGTATTCTCCACTTCCACCACCTTCCAAGAATACAGCACCTGGCATTTCCGTTTTCCGTCACTTTCAAGTACCATCATCAGGTATTCTCTAACCTCCCGCTCTTCCAAGAATACAGCACCTGGCATTTTGAGTTTTATCCACTTTCAAGCTTACATCATCCAAACTTCTCCACTTCCCTCTCTTCCCAAGAATACAGCACCTGGCATTTCCGTTTTCCCGGAAATTCAAGCTTTAATCATCAAGTATTCTCTACTTCCCGCATCTCCAAGAATACAGCACCTGGCATTTCCGTTTTCCCGTCAAGCCATCATCAAGTATTCTCCAACAGGCTCCCGTTCTTCCAAGATATCAAGCACCTGGCATTTCCGTTTTCCCGATTTCAAACATCATCAAGTATTCTCCATTACCACCACCTGGCATATCCAAGAATACAGCACCTGGCATTTCCGTTTTCCCCCATCTCTACTTTCAAGGATCAACACCCGCTCTTCCAAGTCAGCACCTGGCATTCCAAGTTTTCCCGCACATTTCAAGCTTACATTCCAAGTATTCAGGCCACCCTGCATTTCCAAACTTTCAGCACCTGGCATTCCTTTTCCCGCTTCACCCATCATCAAGTATTCTCCAACAGGCTCTTCCAAGAATACAGCACCTGGCATTTCCGTTTTCCGGAAATCAAGCTGCCCATCAATCATTTGAGTCATTCTCCATTACACCACCCGCTCTTCCAAACTCACAGCACCTGGCATTTCCGTTTTCCACACTTTCAACCTTTTCCCAAGTATTCTCCATCCCGCTCTTCCAAGAATCAGCACCTGGCATTTTCCGTTTTCCCCCATCTCATGTTACATCAACAAGTATTCTCCACTTCCCGCTCTTCCAGAATACAGCACCTGGCATTTCCGTTTTCCCGATTCACTTTCATCATTATCCATTCACTTCCCGCATTCCAAACTTCAGCACCTGGCATTTCTTCAACCCATCTCAATACCACTTCCCGAACACCTGGCATTTCCGTTTTCCCACCTCAGATTTCAAATCGGCTGCCATTATCAATTTGGATTCTCTACTTCCCACCCTTCCAAGAATACAGCACCTGGCATTTCCTTTTCCCGTCACCCATCAATTACATCATCAAGTTTCTCCACTTCCCTCTCTTCAGAATATCGCACCTGGCATTTCCGTTTTCCCGATTTCAAGCTTACATCATCCAAGTATTCTCCACCACCCGCTTCCAAGAATACAGCACCTGGCATTTCCGTTTTCCCGTACTTTCACAGCTTACATCCTCAAGTAATTCAAGTCATTCAGCACCTCTTACCCGCTCTTCCCGAGAATACATTGGAGTGGCATTTCCGCATTTCCAAACATACAGCACCTGGCATTTCCGTTTTCCCTTAACAGGCATCATCAAGTATTCTCCACTTCCCGCTCTTCCAAGAATACAGCACCTGGCATTTCCGTTTTCCCGCACTTTCAAGCTTACATCATCAAGTATTCTCCTATGTACTTCCCGCTCTTCCAAAGAATACAGCACCTGGCATTTCCGTTTCCCGCACTTTCAAGCATTCATCAAGTATTCTCCACTTCCCGCTCTTCCAAGAATACAGCACCTGGCATTTCCGTTTTCCCGCACTTTCAATCTTACATCATCAAGTATTCTCTTATCTTCCCGCTCTTCCAAGAATACAGCCCCTGGCATTTCCCTTTTCCCGTACTTTCAAGCTTACATCATCAAGTATTCTCCACTTCCCGCTCTTCCAAGAATACAGCACCTGGCATTTACGTTTTCCCGCACTTTCAAGCTTACATCATCAAGTATTCTCCACTTCCCGCTCTTCCAAGAATACAGCACCTGGCATTTCCGTTTTCCCCGGACTTTCAAGCTTACATCATCAAGTATTCTCCATGTTCCCGCTCTTCCAAGAATACAGCACCTGGCATTTCCGTTTTCCCCGCACCCATCAAGCTTACATCATCAAGTATTCTCCACCCCTCCTCTCTTCCAAGAATACAGCACCTGGCATTTCCGTTTTCCCGCACTTTCAAGCTTACATCATCAAGTATTCTCCTTCCCGCTCTTCCCAAGAATACAGCACCTGGCATTTCCGTTTTCCCGCACTTTCAAGCTTACATCATCAAGTATTCTCCACTTCCCGCTCTTCCAAGAATACAGCACCTGGCATTTCCCGTTTTCCCGCATTTTCAAGTTTCTCCACTTCATCTCTTCCAATTATACAGCACCTAATTTTCCCGCTTTTCCAAGAATCTCAGCTCCACCTCTTCCAATACATTTCCGTTTTCCCGCACTTTCAAGCTTACATCATCAAGTATTCTCCACTTCCGCTCTTCCAAGAATACAGCACTGGCATTTCCGTTTTCCCCGCACTTTCAAGCTTACATCATCAAGTATTCTCCACTTCCCGCTCTTCCAAGAATACAGCACCTGGCATTTCCGTTTTCCCATCACTTTCAAGTTACATCATCAAGTATTCTCCACTTCCCGCTCTTCCAAGAATACAGCACCTGGCATTTCCGTTTTCCCCGTTTTCAAGCTTACATCATCAAGTATTCTCCACTTCCCGCTCTTCCAAGAATACAGCACCTGGCATTTACGTTTTCCCGCACTTTCAAGCTTACATCATCAAGTATTTTCCACTTCCCGCTCTTCCAAGAATACAGCACCTGGCATTTCCCTTTTCCCGTACTTTCAAGCTTACATCATCAAGTATTCTCTACTTCCCGCTCTTCCAAGAATACAGCACCTGGCATTTCCCTTTTCCCGTACTTTCAAGCTTACATCATCAAGTATTCTCCACTTCCCGCTCTTCCAAGAATACAGCACCTGGCATTTCCGTTTTCCCGTATTTCAAGCTTACATCATCAAGTATTCTCCACTTCCCGCTCTTCAGAATACAGCACCTGGCATTTCCGTTTTCCCGTACTTTCAATGCTTACATCATCAAGTATTCTCCACTTCCCGCTCTTCCAACCAGCACCTGGCATTTCCGTTTTCCCCCATTTCAAGCTTACATCATCAAGTATTCTCCACTTCCCAACTCTTCAAGAATACAGCACCTGGCATTTTACGTTTTTCCCCACTTTCATTACATCATCAAGTTTCCCCCCTCTTCCAAGAATACAGCACCTGGCATTTCCGTTTTCCCCATCTCAAGCTTACATCATCAAGTATTTTCCACTTCCCGCTCTTCCAAGAATACAGCACCTGGCATTTCCGTTTTCCCGCACTTTCAATTTACATCATCAAGTATTCTCCACTTCCCGCTCTTCAAGAATACAGCACCTGGCATTTCCGTTTTTGACGTACTTTCAAGCTTACCTCATCAAGTATTCTCCACTTCCCGCTCTTCCAAGAATACAGCACCTGGCATTTCCGTTTTCCCGTATTTCAAGCTTACATCATCAAGTATTCTCACTTCCCGCTCTTCCAAGAATACAGCACCTGGCATTTCCGTTTTCCCGTACTTTCAAGCTTACATCATCAAGTATTCTCCACTTCCACTTCCAAGAATACAGCACCTGGCATTTCCGTTTTCCCGTATTTCAGCTCATTTTCCATTTTCCACTTCCCGCTCTTCCAAGAATACAGCACCTGGCATTTCCCAAGTTTTCCCGTACTTCAAGTATCATCCACTTATCCCTCTCTTCCAAAATACAGCACCTGGCATTTTCCTTTCCCGTCCCCAAGCTTACATCATCAATTTCTCCACTTCCCGCTCTTCCAAGAATACAGCACCTGGCATTTCCCTTTTCCCCCGTTTTTCAATCTTACATCATCAAGTTTCTCCACTTCCCGCTCTTCCAAGAATACAGCACCTGGCATTTCCGTTTTCCCGCCTGATTTCAAGCTTACATCATCAAGTATTCTCCACTTCCTCTTTAAAGAATACAGCACCTGGCATTTCCGTTTTATCACGCACTTTCAAGCTTACATCATCAAGTATTCTCCACTTCCCGCTCTTCCAAGAATACAGCACCTGGCATTTCCGTTTTCCCGCCTTTCAAATTAACATCATCAAGTATTCTCCACTTCCCGCTCTTCCAAGAATACAGCACCTGGCATTTCCCTTTTCCCGTATTTCAAGTACATCATCAAGTATTCTCCACTTCCCGCTCTTCCAAGAATACAGCACCTGGCATTTTCCGTTTTTTCCTTGTTCAAGCTTATCATCAAGTAATTCTCTACTTCCCACCGTCTTCCAAAAATACAGCACCTGGCATTTCCGTTTTCCCCTTCTCTAATTACATCATCAAGTATTCTCACCCGCTCTTCCAAGAATACAGCACCTGGCATTTCCGTTTCCCGTACTTTCAATTACATCATCAAGTTCTCCACTTCCCGCTCTTCCAACCAGCACCTGGCATTTCCGTTTCCCGTCTTTCAATTATCACATCATGTTGCTTTCTCCATTCCCTCTCTTCCAAAATACAGCACCTGGCATTTCCCTTTTTCTCTCTTTCAAGATTTTCAAGTCCACTGGTTATCTCTTTGTATACAGAACCTGTCATTTCCGTTTTCCGCACTTCTCTAGTTATCAATGATTCTCCACTTCTAGCTTCAAGAATACAGCATTGTTTTCCCCACTTTCAACCACATCATCATTTTCTCCGTTTTCCCCTCTTCCAAGAATACAGCACCTGGCATTTCCCTTTTCCCGTTCTTTCATCTTACATCATCAAGTCTCCTTTTCCAAGAATACAGCACCTGGCATTTTCCGTTTTCCCCTTCTTCAAATTTCAATCATAATGTTTCTCCACTTCTTCAAGAATACAGCACCTGGCATTTCCGTTTTCCCCTTTTTTTAAGCACACTCATTTTCCACCTTTTCCCCTTCTTTAATTATCAATGATAATGTTCTAGCTTCAATCCATGAATATCTTTTCCTTTTTCCCACACTCAAGCTTACATCATTTTCCACTTCCCGCCTTCTCTAATTATCAATGGCCTTTCATTTCCCTTTTCCCAAGATAATTCAGCTTACATCCATGGTTATCTTTAACCCCTCTTTTCCAAGAATACAGCACCTGGCATTTATCCCTTTTCCCATTTTTCCGTTTTCCCTTCTCTAATTATCATGATAATGTTCTAGCTTCAAGTCCATGGTTATCTCCTTTTAACCACAATGTTCTCATTTCCGTTTTCCCCTTCTTTAATTATCAATGATAATGATCTAGCTTCAAGTCCATGGTTATCTCCTTTTTAACCACACTCATTTTCCGTTTTTCCCCTTCTTTAATTATCAATGATAATGTTCTACTTCAAGTCCATGGTTATCTCCCTTTTTTAACCACTCCTTTTCCGTTTTCCCCTTCTCTAATTATCAATGATAATGTTCTAGCTTCAAGTCCATGGTTATCTCCTTTTAACCACCTCCTTTTCCGTTTTCCCTTCTCTAATTATCACTGATAATGTTCTAGCTTCAAGTCCATGGTTATCTCCTTTTAACCACACTCATTTTTCCGTTTTCCCTTCTCTAATTATCAATGATAATGTTCTACTTCAAGTCCATGGTTATCTCCTTTTAACCACACTCATTTTCCGTTTTTCCCTTCTCTAATTATCAATGATAATGTTCTAGCTTCAAGTCCATGGTTATCTCCTTTTAACCACTCATTTTCCGTTTTCCCTTCTCTAATTATCAATGATAATGTTCTAGCTTCACTCCACCGTTATCTCCTTTTAACCACACTCATTTTCCGTTTTCCCCTTCTCTAATTATCAATGATAATGTTCTAGCTTCAAGTCCCATGGTTATCTCCTTTTAACCACCTCATTTCCGTTTTCCCTTCTCTAATTATCAATGATAATGTTCTAGCTTCAAGTCCATGGTTATCTCCTTTTTAACCACAGTCATTTTCCGTTTTCCCCTTCTTTAATTATCAATGATAATGTTCTAGCTTCAGTCCATGGTTATCTCCTTTTAACCACCTCATTTTCCGTTTTCCCTTTTCTAATTATCAATGATAATGTTCTAGCTTCAAGTCCATGGTTATCTCCTTTTAACCACACTCATTTTCCGTTTTCCCCTTCTTTAATTATCAATGATAATGTTCTAGTTTCAAGTCCATGGTTATCTCCTTTTAACTACACTCATTTTCCGTTTTTCCCCTTCTCTAATTATCAATGATAATTTTCTAGCTTCAAGTCCATGGTTATCACCCTTTTAACCACACTCATTTTCCGTTTTCCCCTTCTTTAATTATCAATGATAATGTTCTAGCTTCAAGTCCATGGTTATCTCCCTTTTAACCACACTCCTTTTCCGTTTTTCCCCTTCTCTAATTATCACTGATAATGTTCTAGTTTCAAGTCCATGGTTATCTCCCTTTTAACTACACTCATTTTCCGTTTTTTCCTTTCTCTAATTATCAATGATAATGTTCTAGCTTCAAGTCCATGGTTATCTCCCTTTTAACCACACTCATTTTCCGTTTTCCTTCTTTAATTATCAATGATAATGTTCTAGTTTCAAGTCCATGGTTATCTCCTTTTAACTACACTCATTTTCCGTTTTTCCCCTTCTTTAATTATCAATGATAATGTTCTAGCTTCAAGTCCATGGTTATCACCCTTTTAACCACACTCATTTTCCGTTTTCCCCTTCTTTAATTATCAATGATAATGTTCTAGCTTCAAGTCCATGGTTATCTCCCTTTTAACCACACTCCTTTTCCGTTTTTCCCCTTCTCTAATTATCAATGATAATGTTCTAGCTTCAAGTCCATGGTTATCTCCCTTTTAACCACACTCATTTTCCGTTTTCCCCTTCTCTAATTATCAATGATAATGTTCTAGCTTCGAGTCCATGGTTATCACCCTTTTAACCACACTCATTTTCCGTTTTCCCCTTCTTTAATTATCAATGATAATGTTCTAGCTTCGAGTCCATGGTTATCTCCCTTTTAACCACACTCATTTTCCGTTTTCCCCCTTCTCTAATTATCAATGATAATGTTCTAGCTTCGAGTCCATGGTTATCTCCCTTTTAACCACACTCCTTTTCCGTTTTTCCCTTTCTCTAATTATCAATGATAACCGTTGACTCGAAGCTATAACTTGATCTCCCTTTTAACCACACTCATTTTCCGTTTTTCCCCTTCTCTAGTTATCAATGATAATGTTCTAGCTTCGAGTCCACCGTTATCTCCCTTTTAACCACACTCATTTTATAGCCGCCATCATATTTTTATTCTGAAAATGCGGCGCAGAGACGAAATGTTTAGGAAACACTGATGTGAACTATCCTGACAACGGAATTACTAAGAACAGCGAGGAAACTGAGGAAGGTGCTAGATTATTGGAGACAACCGAAAACTTCTTTGATTTCTAGTTACTACTAGTATGAAAACACAACGATAAATAAATAATAACTGACAATTCTTTATATCAATTGTTTTTTTAGATTAGGATACATTACAAAAATTGGCTCTGAATCCAAGACCTTTCGAAAAAATAAAGATAAAATAAAGGCATAAATAAAAGTATTGTTATGAATAATCAAGAGTGGACTCCCCTTGTTTCTTTACACTCCTCTTTGAAAGAGCCATTTCTGTTTACTGGGACTATAAAAAACACTATACGCGAACCTTGTGTTCTCTGTTGAGTTAGCCTTTCTTAAAGCTTACACATGCGTACTTCTGTCATTACAAGTATATCCGTTCAGAGAGAGTATAAGAGTAAATGTAAACAGCTAAGAAATAAAAAAAAAATGCCAACGTGTTGGAATTGGGCGATTTTGACCAATTATGTACGCACAAATCAAGAGATTTCCGAGAGAATAGAAAACGTAAAAATCTATAGAATATTGAGCATTAAGTAACTCACTATATCCAGCAATGTAAACCAATTGTAAACATTGTAAACAAAGTAAGTAAATCTGTGAGAAAATGAATGAAGCCATTTCAGTAGAATACAGTGTAAATGAAAGGAAGTGAATCGATGGAAAATATCATGACCTTGCAAGTGACTTGCAAATATACAAGATGAACATAACAAT